TTCTGACGAAACGAGAGAGAGAAAGAGAGAGAGAGAGAGAGAGAGAGAGAGAGAACGATTAAGAAATTTTGATTGAAAAAAGCACAATTTTGTTTAAGTTAACCATAAACCTTTGATGAATTAGATTCAGTGTTAATATTTTCAGTTAATATTTCTCTGTATCGTTCATATTTCATTTGCAAGCTGTATCATGGACCAAACATTTTTACCATATATCATGCATAAATTGTTATCTTATATCGTAATTCTTGTCAGTGGTATATTAACGACAGAAGGAAAGTTCTGTATCGTACAATTGCGAAAAGAGGACCATCGTTGTCAATGGTGCATCAACGATACTCGGCATAAAATTGATTCCTAGGTATAATCGCGATACAACACAAATCCGAGTGTGTTATTTTGACACGCATAAAAATAATCACCTTATCATGTCTTTGAGCGTATTGTGGACGTTTTTCGATCAATGCACAGTTCAAATTGACCATTTGTTGTTAGTAGCGATCAGTATTAACTGTTTCTCCAGGTTTCATAATATACGACACCAACCTGGTCCCACCAGACACAAAGCATGGTCTTGCGACCAAAGCGATTTGGCCTTGCAGTCGATGGGCCGCCTTCGCCAGGTGATAACCATGATTTTTTTCGCTTGGGATTTTCGAAATAAATCCATTTTTCATCACCCGTTACTATTCGATGCAGAAATGACTTCCTTTCATACCTTTGAAGCAGCATTTCACTGATGATTTTTCGATTTTCTAATTGCCTGTCATTCAATTCATGTGGCACCCATCTTCCCATCTTTTGGATCTTTCCCATCGCTCGTAATCGTTTACAAATTGCTACTCGGCTCACATTCAACTTTTCTGCCAATTGTTTTTGAGTTTGTGTTGTGTCTTCATCCAATAACTCCTGCAATTCCGCATCTTCAAACGTTTTCGGCCTACCAGGACGTTTTTTGTCTTGAACGTTGAAATCATCACATTTGAATTGTCGAAACCACGTTTCACATGTTCTTATGGTTGGAGCATGCTCACCGTAAGTCTCTACTAGCAAACGATGACTTTCAGCGGCTTTTTTATTTTGATTAAACAAGAAAAGTAATGCGTGCCGCAAATGCACGTTTTCAGGCACAAAACTCGATATTTTCAAAAAATTATTAATCTATAACGCTGTTATTTTGGCGGAACGTAACTTGTGTAGTTTTGAAGTTAATGTCAGTAGAATAAAATGATATATGTATCAAATCATAACATTGCATACTTATGGCTAGTGACATCTGTTACAAAAACCGGAAAGTAATTACCGACGTACCTGGTATATATATATATATAAGATAAGTAGAATAGCTAGGCCGGTTCTAACCCAGGAGTGCTGAGGGGGGCGCGGGGGAAGCGGGGAACTCATGGCGCGGGGTATGACGTCGCGCGGGGAAGGGGAACTCATGGTGGGACGTCACGCATACGTCACGAGAAAAAAAATGTGGTAGGACGTCACGCAAGATGGTGACCGTGATGTCATGCATACGTCACGAGAAAAAATTCATATAATGTGTTTTAAATGTCCCCTCGTAATTATCAAACTGAAATAATATACAGCGAACTGAAATTATATACAGTGTTTATATAAAATAACTAGTATGTTTTGACCGAAATAGTTACATATCGAACATCTCTCCAACGTCTCTCGAACGTCTATTGAACGTCTCACGAACGTCTCATGAACGTCTATCGAACGTCTATCAAACATCTATAGGTATTTTTATCAATATAATTAACATAATTAACATAAAAAATCCTAAGAAAGGGGATAAGGGGAAGTTGGAAGAAAGGATCTGGTCTAAAGTAAAAAAGATGTATCATAATATATAATAAAGTAATTTATTTATACTTTTATTACAATTTGTAAACGCTGCAATATAATGGTGCTGTGTATTACAATATCACATTTTGAGCAAAATATTTTTGTCAGCCGTCGACCTCCCAGACTGCTGATACCAAATCGTAGGTCTACAAGTACTATTGTGGTATCAGATAAAGCAAGGTATGCATATCTTATCATAGGATGCCTATGAAGCATTTAGTGCTGCATCATGTAAAAATATGACTATTTTGGCTAGGTTTTTCCGGGAGTTATAATAACGAGAAGAGTGGAAAAAGTGAAGCATATAGATTTAATTTTGTGTGTATTTACCAGTCAGAGCTCTTTCAGTATGGATCGTGAAAACATAGAGCATGAAGAAGTAGAAGACGAAGAAATAGAAAACGAAGAAATAGAAGACGAAGAAGTAGAAGACGAAGAAGATATAAATCATATACTCATGGATGATAGTAATTATGATAGTGACAATAATAATCAATTAGTGAATGAAAAAGTGAAGAAATTGGAAGTTTCAGAAATTAATACTTTGAGTGGCCAAACAAAAGTGTGTTGCATTTATTTTTCATATAATTCTGGAGACAATTTACGGTTCTGCACATCATGTTTTGTTGATGGCGTTCACGATACAGTTACAGAAATATTTGCAGTGCGCAAACACATCACCGAAAGACACGATGTGATTGATGGTGTATTTTGTTCAAACTGTAGAAACCCTGTCTACCAAATAACATCATGCAATCTGTGTCTAATATGTATGCACTAATATGACATATTTAAAACAGAATTCTTATATACGGTACAAAAACTTCATCCAATACACTATACAAGATAAAAAGAAGCAGGAAGAATGTAATAACGATATGTGTGTGTGTGCGTGTGTGTGCGCATGTGGAAGACAGAAGAGCTATAAAAAAGTTCAAATTAGAACATTCTATAATTTAGTCGAAGACAAACAGAGTGGACGCCAGACTGCTGATACCAATCATAGGTCTATAAGTCTATTATTGTATCAGATAAAGAAAGGCATGCACTTAGGCAAAGTCCACAACGAGTTGATATGAGTTTAAGACTCAGGAATGTGTTTAATAGTTCGTCGAGGAAGTTTCCCGAATTTTGATAATGGCATGTATTTGTGAAAGAGTTAAGAGCTATAAAATGTTCAAAGCAGAATATTCTATAGTTTAGTCGAAGACGAGCAAAGCGCGCAGTTACAGTGTGTTTACAACGTTTTGCTAGAAAAATGGCAGAATCATCATTATCATCATTATCAACCGTAGAACGTGAGCTGCAGAACCAGGCCGCTCGATTAGGCTCGCTAGACGAATACCTCGCATGGGAACAAAAGTGCGACGAGTGTCTCGAGTCGTTGGAACAGCATAGCCGAGCCAAACAACCACGACTATCGGTTGGTTCAGCGCACTCGATGGTTGCTCGTATAGCGCAACTCGAGGGTTTAAAAAATACTTTGCGCAGACGTTCGTACGTCTGTACGTTTTGTATACGCAGGAGCCAGACATTCGACACTTGTTTGGCGAGAAATCGATACAGCGTTCAATAGTCGCATATCAACCGGGGCGATTGTAAATACAGACTATATCGACCCTCTTCGATTTCTCCAAGATGTGAAGAATATCGTACTCGAGCATGTGCGAAGCGTTATGAAGAGACATGGTAGCGTAAAAGTGAATACTGTGTTCAACGGTGAATTTGTGGCAGGTGATAAACGCGCGAACAAGAGCATTAATACGAGGAACGTTGAACTTTTTTTTATATCCGATCTAGACAATTGGTTCGCGATGCGTGTTATCGAACCCACCTTAGCGTCCATGGAAGAATTTCAGGAACGAGATAGCGGGTGGGCACTCTCGCGCATACTCAATCTGACCGTTAATGTTAACAAGTACAATCCATTACATTCGGGATGTCATATCGAGTTACCGCGCGAAATAAAAATGAAGCGGGCTATAATTAACGTGCAATCTATGGACAATGCATGTTTCGCATGGGCAGTGGTTGCAGCGTTATGTCCAGCCGACAAACATGCAGATCGTCAATCTTCGTACCCACACTATACATCGGTTTTGAATATGCAGGAGATTGAATTTCCAATGCGCATAATTCAAATTAAAAAGTTTGAACGGTTGAACGATATCTCGGTCAACATTTATAGTGTGGAGAAGAGATGTGACAACGCAACAAAGAAAGAAGGAAACGTGGTCGCACCTATACGTCTCACGGAACAGAAAATGGAGAAGCATGTCAACCTGCTGCATATCCCAGATCCGTGAGATGATGATAACGCTGGGCACTTTGCGTGGATCAAGAATTTGTCCCGACTCGTCAACTCACAACTGACAAGGGACATTCGGCAACGCGGAAATTCAAAAAAATCTGAAACTCTGCATAATTGTAAAGCAGATATACCTAATAACAAAACAATTTTTCGTTGGTGCCCAAAAACGGTTTTAAGGGTGGAAACAACCCCTTGAACAAAGTTGATTTTTATCTTTCTAAGCGAATATTATCGAAACTATTAAAGATATGAAAAAATGTTTTAGACAAAAGTTTTATGGTTTTAAAAGTACTTTATTATGCTATATTTAGATTTTTTAAAAATGTAAAATTGTGTATAAAATACCCCCCCTCCTTCTCTTTTTTCAAATTGTTAAAATCAATTGTCCAACCAAAATAAAGCTTATTTTATGACAAATTCAACCATATATAATAACATTATGTTTGGAAAAGGCAATATTGAAAAAAAAATTAAAAATGCTCTTATATATATGCTACGCGTACCAAACTTATGGGTTCGCTACTTGACGATGGCATTTCTTTCTTCCTCAAATCTTCCTCATAATTGCAAACTGTAAAAGATAAGGAAGGAAGAAAATAGAAAATCTAAAAAAGCAATAAAGTTGATGTTAAGAAGTAAGTAGGAGAAAAATAGCATGATAAGGATACAGTCACTAATATTTAAAAATGTTATAAATTATAAAATTTCACGTAATAGACGTTTATTTTGCCAACATTGCGGCTACCTTTTTCATTAATTTAAACGACACACGTAAATATAAATAAATATGTGTGTGTGTGTATGTGTGTTTTTGTACGTGCGCACGTGTGTGTACATCATGGCAACATGCAAAACACTTGTCACAAGTTTACAGTACATGTCTCCTCTGTATCAGAACAGATGTAAAGTAATGTACACCGATACTGACAGTTTAATCTACCATATCCAATGCGATGATATTTTCGAGCACATGAAACGTGATATTTCTAAGTTTGATACGAGTGATTATCCCGCTGATAATATGTACGGTATACCGCTTGTCAACAAAAAGGTATCAGGTCTGATGAAAGATGAAAATAACGGAGCGATTATGACGGAATTCGTCGGGCTCAGAGCAAAGATGTACGCGCTAAAGGTAGACAGCAAAAATGACACGAAGAAGGCGAAAGGTGTGAAGACGAATGTCGTAGCGCGAACTATAACGTTTGATGATTATATGCAGTGTCTGAGAGATGAGGTCGAAAAGCAACGTCGTCAGTCATGCATACGATCCAAAATGCACAAAGTCTACACCGTGTCCGAACTGAAAACTGCTCTGAGTCCGTATGATGACAAGCGGTATATCGTACCGAACTCAACAGACACTTTACCATGGGGACATTACAGGATACAATTGTAAACTAAAAAGCGATCATTGTGCATACATGTATATTGTAAAATGAAAAGCGATCATTGTACATATATTTGTTTGTAAGAAATATTGTTAACTATAATAAAAGATGGTTTATTACAAGCTGTTTATAATAGGATATTGTAATAAAAAAGTGTTTATAACAAAGAATTGGTTACAATACATTTTCTTTGTGTATCCAAGAGTTGTGCGAATTATCAAATCCCAACCATTTCACTAAAACCTTGTCGCCGCTTTTTCGCAACACCTTTTCTACGAGATAAACGTCAGGATTAGCAGCGCGATGCAGTTCGTATTCGTAAAATCCTCCGGCAATAGACTTTCCGCGAGAATCCTCGAGCAGATAGGTCGCTGGATTAATTGTCTGCACTTTGACGATTTTAAACACTTCGGTTGTCCAATTCGGTGTATAGCCTTTTTCAAAGATGGTTTTGAATTTGCTCACGCGTACCAGATCACCCACTTTGAATCTCGCAGGCGCAGCGATCTTTACGTTGTTGTAGACTGTGTGTAGGAGCTTATCAGCGATTTCGGGTGTCACATCGATAGGACGCATGCCGATAGTTCGATGTTTCCGTGTGTTGTACTCCATGATAAGGTGTGGTAACGAGTCGATCCATTTGTATGTTCCATTCAACGTAAACATTTTCCATATGTCGTTCTTTAACGTGCGGTTGAATCGTTCCACAACAGATGCCTTCATTACCGAGTACGTAAAATAATGATTGATACCGTGTTTTTTAAGGAGTTTCTGCAGATCCGCATTATAAAATTCTTTTCCCTGGTCCGTTTGCAAATTTTTCGGACATCTTCCAGATTCTTGAAATATCCTGGCGAACACTGCCACTGCTTCTTTACCGCTCTTGCTCTTCATCGATACAGCCCACGCATATTTGCTCAACACATCGATAATAGTGAGTATATAGTGGTAGCCTCTATTGAATCGCGAGTAAGGACGCATCTCTACCAAGTCAGCTTGCCAAAGATCATCGTATCCACGCACTATGACGCGTCTACGGGGAAAATATCTTCTCGCTGGAGCGTGCAACTCCTCCACCGATGCTTTTCGTTACCGATGAGCTGCTTCTCTGAACTTTTCTTCTTTTTGTTAAATTTTGATGATTGCTTCGCCATTGCAGCTTGTGATGATCCGTCTCTCGCTATGTTGATACTATATGTCAATTTAACTGTAATATTCTACTTTTAAATTTCCCCTGATTTCTTTATCTCTGAGCGTGTCCAGTCTAAAATTATGGTATTGATACAGTAGTCTATCTCTCCATTCTAAGTAAATACAAAAACTATATCTTATCATTTTGAAAAAGATAAGTAGTTGTAGACCTTTTACGTCTGCGCATCACCATCCCCACTACTTTCTCTATTCTCTCCGGGGAAAGACATACGGTTTTGAGACTGGCGAAGCATTCAAGCTTCGTTGCTCCTACTTGCAGCATAGCTAGTTCTCGTTATTACAAGTTATTAACAAGTTCTTGGAAGAAAAATGTTCGGCGCTAACGTGGACACCGCTCTCAAGAAGACGTCGAAGAAGACGAGCAGTCTCTCTACAGAAGTGGGAAACGACCGTAACATGCTTCTATGTACGACGTACGCGCTCAACAATTCGGATACTAAGAGGATGCAGGTTGGATTGCGCACCACTTACGACATGGGTCCATTTAAGCCAACGATCAGGATCATGGGGAACACGTCTTCAGGAATTCTCCTTGATTTGAATACGTGGGAGAAGTTTAAAGATATTATACCCTCTGCAAATTCTTATTTGTGTGGGGAAAATAAGAATACACCAACCTCTATCATCATCAACAATATCAGCATCAACTTTACCTCAGCGTACGGTGCACGAGCTGTAATAGTGAGTCAGCGAGGGAAAATACTGGACGAGAGCGGACCTGCGAAGAAGACATCGGAGGAGTCTACGCATCTGAAGCAACCGCCGCTGAAGAAGCGTAAGCTGTATACGGAGAATATTATAATGCAGAAGACATCTTTCGGTGGTCTGCAAACTGTCACAAAATGTATCGATGCTAGATACGAACATTTACAAGTGGTTGCCGCTCTTGTGAGTAATTGCAAATATATTTTAGTAGGCGAAATAGAACTTAATCTCACGAAGGAAGGTGTAAACGAAGATTTCGTAAAACGGACGCTCGTTGATAAATATCGCGAAATCGAGGAAAATGTACGACGGCAAATGAAAAATTTACAATTTTTAGACACATATTTTAATATTGTATTCCGTGAATTGACTACGATTCATTTAAATGAAATTATACACAAGATTATAACAAACGCAGAATGCTACGAGTGTTTGCAAAACTACAAATGTAACTTCAAAAATAAAATGTGAATTTATTTTATAAAAATGTTGTATATTCCTTTCTCCCCACCTCTTTTCTCTTCCCTGCGATCTCCAATTCGTTGTAACAAAACCCAACTTAACTTAACTTTTCGAGTTCGAAAGCGAAGGGGACACACAGGTAAAAATATATTCTACTTTTATATTTCCGCTGATTTCTTTATCTCTGAGCGTGTCCAGTCTAAAATTTGGTCTATGTTCTCATGAATGCTATTTATGCTCTGTATGTTTTTTTTCCGGTAGTCTTCCAGCCAATCCTTCAATTTTTTAACATTCTCATCTACATACTGCTTCATCTCAACGTTACTCTCATGCAGTAGAAGCTTTACAGCATTTATATTCTCATCGATATACTGTTTCTTCTCAACGTTACTTTCATGCAACATAAGTTTTACAGACTTTATACTCTCATCCACATAATATTTGTGCGCAGCGTCATTGAAGGCTTCCGGCTGCGGTACATTATGTATCGCATGCATTTTTGCATCGAAACATTTGTGTATCAGACGTTACCTTCTTGCCTCGAATTTAATGATGATAATGGGCTTCTTCGCTGCGTTGAAACAGAAGCTCTTCGTTGATCGGTTGCAAACGTGGTGAACGTTAGACACGTGCAATAAAATGTCGCTGATTCCCACGCGACAGAAAGTTGAGATAAAATGCGTTTGGATACGGTACAGGAGTTTCAAATCACTAGATTTGTTTTCTTAAAAACAGCTTGTTTAATAATCAACAAAAAAAAGTGAGTCTCATGCGAGAATCCGTATAGAGAGTGGGAGACTCCTAACTTAGTGCTGCGATGTACCGGACTTGTGTAAAGAATGACGACGTTGTCTCCTCGGATCGCCTTAGCCTTAATATTTATAGTTCGCGAAAAACCAACCGTGTTCGAGCGGGATTGGTTTAATCTGAATTCACGTTCAGACTTGACGAGTAACGAATACGACCGTCCTTCGATGTCACATGAAAGAAAACAATGTCTTGTGCTCGAGTTTTTAATCAGTATTCCAATCAGCATTGGATGCTATTGTTTTGACGAATGTACACGAGCTAGGCTCGGCCAACTAGGTTACATTGTTAGCTGTTCATAAGAAATGGAACAACAACAACTCGGAATGTGACATCGAAGCGTCGATATTAGCATTATTTGGAAGCACTTCTTGCAAATCACGGCATCCTCTCGAGAAACTTCCAGAAGCGTGAAATTTAGATTATCTCGAGAGTTTGTTTTTATACACAGAGTTCACGCACTCGCTTCTTCCATACGAAACAATTTGCCATCACGACCTTTACTATTGGCGGTTAGACAAAGGGCATTTTCATGTACATATCGTTTGGTTGCAACGTTGTTTAAATGATACTGACACCTGCAACACATTCTTCCACGTATTGTTTGGTTGCAACGTCACTGTCGGCTTCAGATTGCGCTACATGTTGTATCTTGCGCGACTTTGCGTCGAAAACTTTGGCAGCGTTTAAACAAAGAGCATTTTCATGTATGTAATCTTCAACATGTTCATTCCATTGATGCGCTTCGATCGGAGAACTATTGCTGTCTGGCAATACTCCAAACTTATGCGTCGACATTTCGGAGCAAGCTGTGTCGATGCTCTCGACTGGCTGACGATTGACTGACTGACTGACTCGTGTCAATGCAGCGCTGTTTAATTTATAGTAAGACCAGCTTCGCGGAGTTCTTCGATAATCGATAAAATTTCGTTGTCATGAGTGTTGTTGCCGGCTTGGCGCGAAGCGTCAAGCAATCGCAAACAATCCACCAGCTCGTTGGGATCATCCCAATGCACGTAATCGATATTGTTGTCATTTAAGGTCATCATAGCTTGAGATACGTATAAACCTTTTCCGGCCACTTTATCGCTCGACGCATGTGATACTAGGGGCGCGATTATATGTTTATATTTGTGTCCCTTGTTACCGAGTATCGGATTTTGCGGGAGGTACCCGCGTCTGTGAGCATTCGTCGCCAATAGTATACTTTTGTATTTTTGCATATCAGCCTCGGTGTACACAGAATCGTCGGGGATTCTTTTGAATATTAGCTCGTAAAGACCGGGTGTTCCAATGTATCCTGTTTCGCCTATGATTATATTATCGTCTCTGTCCACATCGACACGTTTATCACCGAGCATTGCTCCATCGTTACTAAGACGTACACCGTAAACATAATCTATAGTGTTATCTTTTCTACTACTTAGCACAGCTCCCATATATTTTTGACCCAACGGACCAAAATGATCATGTAAAGTTTGTTGTCCTTTGTACGTTCGCAACTGACGTATAACGGATGTCATTACCGGTTTATCGGGGGTTTCGAAAACATTCTCATCATCATCATTATCATCAGTGAGTAGATTGTTGATCGGTGAAGGTTTATGTGGTTCCTCATATTGTAGAGCTCCCGTCGATGTAGAAACTATCGAAGGATCTTTGAATAGTTTCCGTTTCAGCGGAGTCAATGCGGCTGATGAAAATTTCGCCTTACGCTTTACCTTTTTTTCGGGTTTTAATATTACACTCTTTGTTTCTTCGCTTGTACTCATTGATAGTGGCGCAGTATTAACATCAACGTTACTTTCCACATTAGCGCTGCTTCCCGCGATTTGCTTGAGAGGTTCAATAATAGGTTTAAAGTG